GGTGTGGTCATTGACCGATAGAGGTTTGAGCTTTTCATCAAGCCATTTTGCCAACTTGTAATTATATGTCCCGGTTGCCGAGAGTATCGGCCGCATTGCTAGTTGTCGCTTGTGGGTTTTTGGCAAGCCATAAAGATGGGCTAGTCTCGAGCCATTCTGAACAACTGTGCCAGCAACTACCTTGGGCAATATTCTTTCTACAGTGGCAGTTAACTCCTTTTCTTTCTGCAATAGCGGGTGGAAATGCTTGGGAGGTCTTCCTCTCATTTTGGGTCTTTCAGCACACACTGGTGACAGATTTTAACAAAAATAGGGTATTTCATAGGAATTGTATGAGGTTACAACTGAGCTAAATTTAAAAAAAATTCACCGAAGGAAACGCGAGAAAATTCGATATCAGTTTTGCCTTTTGAGCTAATGTTGACGCCATAAAAATTGAAAAAACACTTACGTTTTCCTTTGAGCGCGCGCAGATTACATGAGTTTTTGTCCTATGCTCGGGTGCAATCGTAAAACTATGGGGAGCCACCTTAACGGGGTGGCCGCATTAAAACGTTAACGCCTTACTGATGCATGAAGTTGATCAACAGTCGGAAAACTGGGACCGAATAAAATTTTAGGAGTGCCTTGTGAATAGACAAATTCGTTTAACACACACGTGACATTGAATTGGGTATTTACATTGCGTGAAAACGAGGCCCCCTTAACATTTTCTTTATTATTGCAACCGCTTGTATTTATTGTGTTAATCATGTGCGTTGCTGTAGTTGTTTATTCAATAAATCGTGGCTTATTTTTCTCTAAATGACAATACGAACGTACTTGTTTTGGTTGTTGTTGTACCCTATTCAAGTCACGTGACACTCGCGCGTGAGTTAGCCGAATTTGTCTATCCTTACTATATCTACTAACAATGTCTTGATCTAATCACAGACATTCCTGTTTGCAACAGCAAGGCGGATGTGATTGTTCTAGTCCAAGACAGTCAAGGTACTTCCTCAACGACAGTTCAAAACGTAAAAACCGTGGTGCGAGCAATGCTGAGACGACTAAGCAGTGAATCAACAGACTTCAAATTTGCTCTGGCAACGTACGCTACTTCGCGGCAAATGAGTTGTTTTGGAAGCGCAGATGAAACAATCAGTTACATTAACAACGAATACCAATACGGAGGAAGTGGCCTTAATCGGCTAAATCTTGCCCTGAGTAAAATGGTCTTGAAACAGTTTGAAAAGCGTCGTGGCGACAGAAAAACAGACACGGCAAAGGTGAGATTTACTTTTGGCTCAAACTGTGTGATCACCAAATTATCTGGTATTCAAAAAGAAGGTATCTGTATTCTCATATATTTATTTTTTGTTTCAAAATTATATTGTTGCAAAACAGAAACTTTCTGCAAGACAGCAGATCTTAAATTCCAAAGTCGATTACAGTCCTATATCTCCACAACGGACACCTTAGGAACAGAGGAAAGGGGCCGTTGTAGAGGCGTGATCGTTATAGGGAGGTAGGGGTGTAATATGACACCTGTTTTTCCAAGAGTTGCAACATGTTTGTTTTTTTTAAATAAAATAGTACTTACTGTAGCATATAAATACGTAACACAATCAATCAGCAGTAAAACAGAAAACAAACACAAACAGAGACCAACGACACGCGGTATGGACCAAGTGGCATGACTTTTTACAATATCTGAATGGGATTCTGTATAAACCGTTTATCAGTAGTTGATTAAGGCGCTTTGGTGGCCGTTGTTGTTGTGGAACTGGTCATCGTGCAGAGGTTTAAATAAGAGAATGTATAGACCGTCCTCCGGGACCTAAAAAGTGGCCGTTGTAGAGAGTTGGCCATTATAGAGAGGTTCGCCGTTGGTGGAAGTTCGGCTGTTCACACATTGTCAATCCTGTTTTTCATTCTTCTTATTCACAAGCTTGTTTCCAATTTTAAAGATTCTAGTCATATTCTCAGACGGGAACACCATGGATGAGAATGGAGACATTATGGAAAGCTTCATGCTTGAAAAACCAGCCAAAATATTGAGAGTCAACAACAACATCAAAATAGCTGGTGCCCTTATTCCCAACACTGAGAATGCACCACGAATACAAGAGTTAAAAGGCATCGTCGCTGAACGAGATGACGCCATCAACGCCGATTTTTCTGCTAAACTTGACGAGATTGCAGATCTCCTAGGAAAGAAAGTAAAGGATGAGGCGTTTTGCCGTTATGGTAAGAATCTATAGTAATTCGTAGGGAACCTTACTGATTTTTTCATCTCTCTAGATCTGTACAGAACGGCCGAGTAAATAGTCATGGCCTTCATGAGCACTTTCTCTTCCAGTAGGTGGAGGTGGGGATGGGGGAGAGACAGCAAGTTAGGGATAAACTCTTGCTCTTAGGCCATCGTAGCTTGATTAAGAATATAACACAAACAGCGGTGATAAACATTGTATTCCAACAATTACAATTACTACACCTACAATAACAATCTTGCTTCCTACCTCGTTGGCATACTTCAGCCAATTTCCACCAACCAGCACACGGTTAACAGAACAGAAAAACAACGTTTCAAGGCCTTGGCTAAATGTCACCATGCATCAGCCATTGCTGATCATGTGAAAAACACTGGTCACAACATAAAATGGGATCATTTTGACATTTTAGCGTCCGGCAAAATTGACTTTCATTGCCAAATTAAAGAGACTCTGTTTATTCAAGAGCTAAAGCCTTCTCTTAATGTCAATATCAGTAGTGAGAAGTTGTTGCTTTATTAGCTGTTTCACCTCATGATGTTAAGACAGGTTAACGTACTGCTGAAGATCATTTTTGCCAGTCTAGGTCCGGACCTCTAATATTTACGATGAATAGTTTTCAAAACATTGTAACGATCCGAATCAACAAATTTTTATAAACGGATTTCACTAAAAAAAACGACGCCCATATTCACCTGACTAATTCCAAAAAGTTCTTTCATTGATTTAATATTTTAATTTAAATGCAAACAATTTTTTTCAGTTATAAAAGGTCAGATTTTGACATTTTTGTATTCTGAAAAAGGAATTATTTCATAAATAGGAAAACATATCTATGTTTCAGCCCTTGGTTTAAATCGTAGCTCGTCGAAAAAAGCTCTATTTAATGAAAAACTACATTTCTTCTGGTATTGCAATAAAGCAGAAGTGTCCCCGATATCTAATGGAAGTTACTCTGTTGGGGCTTGCGCAGTGTACGCAACCAGCGGCACTTCGATGAAATCATAAAGAAGCCGGATAGTTTTTTTCTTTTTTTCTTTTGGGGCTGTTTTTCTGTTATTTTGTTTTTGCCTTTTCTTTTTGACTTTGCATTTTGTGAAACACAAAGAAAAAACATGTAAAGTGTAACCGATTTTGCCAACTATTGAACTGTTTGAATTTCCCGCACTCTGGCTGACGCAATTAAGCTGATGTGAAATTTCACTTCTTTAGCAACCAACACATAAATCGGTGAATGGGCCTTTACAATCCTAATTCAGTCCCAGTTTTCGGAGTGTTGATAACTTTGTGTTTATAAATTAAGGTGTTTACGCCTTCAGTTCTCATTGTTATTTCAAAGGGCGCTGGATACGATGTAATGGAAACCCAACTTGGTTCTACACACCTCCCTTGGTTATAAGAGTTCAAGGTTAACACAAATAGGAAAATTAATACTATTTGGCGCGATTTTGTACTTAAGAAACTGTCAGGAATTGGATAACGACACAATTCGCCCTGGAATTGGGTCAAGATTTAGAAAACTGGGCAGCACATTCCACTTCAAAATTCCAAGGAGTATCCCTAACTTAATTAAGAATATAACAAAAACATTGTATTCCAAAGTATTTTAACACAGAACTTGACGTTTCATGTGCTGGTCAACAGATATTTTCAAAAGTGATCGTTACAATTTCACTAAAAAAGTTAACGTTAAAAAGCAACGACGTTTCGACCGCTCGACGGTCATTTTCAAGTTGAAAAGTAAAATTTTTGCATGCGCCCAAATATATACAGTCGATTATAAGAATGATGTTAATCATTCATGTTAAAATTAATCTGATGTTACTGATCATGAGAAAGTTATAGCACATGAAATAATTCTGAACTAACTAAATGACAATAAATTTTCCTTAGGAATGGCTTTGAAAAAGAGCACTTACTGGGCTTCTAGGAGTCTTGTGATTATCCACCAGATCTGTAAATACAAAACAAAACGGAGATAATGTTGTCTAATTACAGGCATCTACCATTGCAAGGCCAAGGCGGATGTGATTATTCTGATTCAAGATAGTCAAGGTATTTCCTCAGCGACAGCAGAAAACATAAAAACCGTAGTAAAAAGAATGCTGACTCAACTAAGCAGTGGTTCAACTGACACCAAAGTTGCCGTGGCAACGTACGCGACCTCGCGACGAATAAGTTGTTTTGGAAGAACCAAGCAAGCAATCAGTTACATAGACAACGAATATCAACACGCAGGAAAAGGCCTTAACCTGTTAAACCTCGCCTTGAGTAAAATGATCATGAAACAGTTTGATAAGCGTCCTGACGACAGACAAACAAGGGATACGGCAAAGGTGGGTTTTACTTTTGGCTATTTTCCGTTTGGGTCCAAACTTAAGTTATCCAAGTTTCAAGTTCAAATTATCTCTGACTTTTGTCAAAATTGGTATCAAGAAGATAGAAGATTTGGGGAAAAAAAGTTATAAAAATCAGACCTCAGTTATGTTGTAGCAAAAACAGAAACACAGGTCTCAAAGTTTAATGTCTGTTGTTCACAATGTCAGTGCTATTTTTTATCGTTATTCAACAAATCGTCTGCAATGTTCAAGGTTCTAGTCATATTCTCAGACGGGAACGCGCAGAATGAGAATGGTGACATTATGGACACTTCCATACTCAAACAAACAGCAGGGTCGTTGCAATACAACCTCATCGAAATTTTTGGTGTCCTTATCCCCAACACTGAGAAAGCGTCACGCATACAAGAGCTGGAAGGTATCGTGTCCTATCCATATGAGGTCATAGACGCCAGTTTTAACAGCATCGCAGATCTCCTAGCATTTCGCGTGAAACGAATGGTCGACTGCCTTGGTAAGAATTTGACAAGGAACTTTATCTTTCCATAGCCTCTATATAGTTGACAGATAAACTATAATGGCCCGCATGAGCAATCTCTCTTCTATGTTGGCCATGGGATTGGAGGGGGGTGGTAGCAAATTAGGGAAAATCCTTGGTACTTTGGGGATGTGCCGCCCACGATTCCAAATCCGGACCCAATGTTAGGGCAAAATATTCTCAGATTCCCTGGCAGTGTCTTTAGGACAGAATTAATTAGCCGCAAATAATACTCTGCAGTTGCATTTTTAAGTTGTAAACTGACATGGGTCAACAAGTTTTAAGACATATACACCCCTGTGGTTTTTCCTGTTTTCCTAAGCCGGCCCTCAGCCATTTCCGTTCGCTATAAAACTATACCCAATTTCAGATTTACACAAAGCAGTAAATATACCTTTATACATACAGTGTAACCGTTCCCTCATAGGCTGCTAGCTCAGATCACCTTTTTAGATTGTTTGTCTTTGCTCACCTTTTCAAAAATGAATAAAAAGTAACACAGTTGTATCGCGTTTGGAAGTCCACAATTAAGGATAATTAATAATAGGCATAATTTAACCCTCCAGTTAAATTATGCCAAGATGAAAGGGTTATATGCGGACCCTAGGTTGTTTCATTGAGTGCTTAATTCATAAATACTTTGTTNTTTCAGAAAAACAGCCACAAAAGAAAAAAGAAAGACTATCTCTGTGTGGCTTTCGTGTGCTTCTTTTGGATTTTATCGAAGTGCCGCTGGTTGTGTACACTGCGCAAGCGCTGACAGGGTAACGTCCGTTACATATCGGAGACACTTCCTCTTTATTTCAAAGCCGAAAGAAATGTAGTTTTTCATTAAATACAACTATTTTCGACGAGCTACGATTTAAATCAAGGGCTGAAACATAGATATGTTTTCCTTTTTATGAAATAATTCCTTTTTCGGAATGCAAAATTATCAATATTTTAAATCTCTCAAAATCTGACCTTTCACAACTGGAACAAAATTTCGACATAGCGAAATGAGGGTATAAATTAGAATATTATCAATGAAAGAACTTTTTGGAATTAGTCAGGTGAATATGGGCGTGGCGTAATGCTACTGATTATGAGAAAGTTATAGCGCATGAAATAATTCTGAATTAATTACTAGATGACAATAAATTTCCTTTAGGAATGGCTCAAAAAGATCACTTACTGGGCTTTTAGGAGTCTTGTGATTATCCACCAGGTCTGTAAATACAAAACAGAGAAAATGTTGTCTAATTACAGGCGTCTACTTTTGCATGGACAAGGCGGATGTAATTATTCTGATTCAAGACAGTGAAGGCATTTCCTCAGCGACAGCAGAAAACATAAAAATCGTGGTGAAAAGAATGCTGACTCAATTAAGCAGTGTGTCAGCTGACACCAAACTTGCCGTCGCAACATACGCGATGTCACGGCGAATAAGTTGTTTTGGGAGAATCGGGCAAACAATCAGCTACATAGACAACGAATACCAACACAGAGGAAGCGGTCTAAACCTGTTAAACCTTGCCATGAGTAAAATGGTCTTGAAACAGTTTGACAAGCGTCCTGACGACAGAAAAACAAGCGATACGTCAAAGGTGAGTTTTACTTTTGGCTACTTTCCGTTTGGATCGATCCGAACTTTCCAAATTTAAGTTATCTACATTATCTCTCACTTTTGTCAAAATTGGTATCAAGGAGATAGAAGATTTGGGGGAAAAAGTTATAATAATCAGACCTTAGTTATGTTGTAGAAAAAAACAGAAACACACTGCAAGATAGCAGGTCTCAAAGTTTTATTTCTGTTGTTCACAATGTTAATATTAAACAAATCGTCTGCAATGTTCAAGACTCTAGTCATATTCTCAGACGGGAACGCGCAGAATGAGAATGGGGACATTATGGACACCTCCATACTCGAGCAAACAGCAAGGTCGTTGAAAGAGAACAACATCGATATGATTGGTGTCCTTATTCCCAACACTGAGAAAGCTTCACGAATACAAGAGCTGAAAAGTATCGTGTCCTATCCATATGATGTCATAGACGCCAGTTTTAACAGCATCGCAGATATCCTAGCATTTCGCGTGAAACGAATGGTCGACTGCCTTGGTAAGAATTTCACAAGGAACTTTATCTTTCCATAGCTTCTATATAGTTGACAGATAAACTAAAATGGTCCTCTATTATTATGAACTATTTTTATTGAATTACTTAGTGCGCGCTCTGGATTCATGACGTGGCGTGTAAATTTGTGTGTACAGTAAGGATGCGCAGAAATAATTAGCGCAAGCTTCCTTAAACCATTAGCTCAGTTTACTTTTGTGGACTGTTTGTCTTTGCTCATATATCACCTTTTCCAGAAACCGAGGTCGTCTTATCGGGATGTTATTTTCAAAAATGAATAAAAAGTAGCACCATTGTGTCGCATTTGGAAGCCCACAATTAAGGGTAATTAATAATAAGGCCAATGGAGTATCTTCCAGTTAAATTACGCCAAGATAAAAGGGTTATATGCGGACCCTAGGTCGTTTCATTGTGTACCTAGTTCATGTATACTTTGTTTATTCCAATAGTTAAGTACACGGTCAAAGTTTACACCCGGGACTCACATGCGAGGAGTGACTACGGATTGACTGTTAGGATTGAAGGACAAGGCAAACAGAAAACTGCCAATCAAAGCTTGTTCGAGACAACACAAGACAGGGAAAAGTAGGATACGTTCTTTTTGTGTTCCTTCGTGTTCTGGGTCCGGGGGGTAGGGGAGAGGGAGGGTCGAGTAAAAGTGACGGGAATGCTCGTCATACCTTTTCGTGGTTAAAATTCATGGCTTTGAATCTCATATTTTACAGAAGCTAGTGCTAAAATCATTCTAGCAGCTTTTAGGACATCAAGTTGAAAAAATATTAGTTAGGAAAAACTTGCTATAGAAAGGATTGAAAACGTTCAAGGACAGGTACACGCTGCTGCAACCCTAATTACGTGAATTTTTAGCCAATACTTTCCTCTCAGAAGAGAACTAATTGTTCCAAGTAGTAGCAGACAAACCCGGGGGGACTCCGCGATCGCAGGTGGGGATGTGCGGTGCGTTTTTTGAAACCCTTACCCTAATTCAGGCCAGAGCATGTGATTTTCTAGTTCCTATTTCAGCCCTGACGCAAAAATGGTTACCCTATTTCAGCCCTCTGGATCCGATCAACCAGGAATGTCTTCAACTGAGACTGCTTATATAGGACAGAACCCTGAACTTCCGGCAGACAGAATAATTTTAAATCATTTGAGTTTAGGTCTATTGTAAATTGTTTTATTTTTTTAGCAACCTACACGTGATTGTATCAGCGTTCTATGATCTTGATGTGGGCACTGTGGAGAGGGTTAATATACAAACAAAAAGGTTTCAGTCTGCTTCACCTTTCAGAGCTGGGTGGAACCTTAAAGAGGTAACGTGATAGTATTTCCTGTAAAAGCTTTAACGTAATTTAGCACAGGTATTTTTTTTTGTTATTATTTAGTTTCATTGTAGACACTACATATAATACTTGCAATATGTTGAGTCGGCAATGCACTCCTTCATAACCAAGTATTGTTTCCATGTATTCACGTATATTATTATGTACGCCACATAAATAACCTGAAGTACGTTTCGGTATATATGGGTCATTGACCAAGCGCCAGTTCATTATGGCTTGATATCGGCCAAGCTTTTTTTTGCGTGTTTATAGACTGTGACAGAGTTGAGGTCCATAAACACGCAAAAACAAATGAGACCAATATCCAGCCATCTTGACCGAGCAAGCTTGGTCAATAAAGGATTTATTGTATGGAAAAAGAACGCCATTTTCTTGCGGGACACAACGAGCAATCCCGAGCGGGCAAGATAGCGCCATCTTGCCCGCTCGGGTAGCCAATCACCGCGTAGGATTCGGTTCATCATTAGCTAGCCATATAGTAAACGTTAATGACTGACTGACTGAATGACTGACTGACTGACTGACTATACATAGCTTGCGGGGTCGTGTGAATAAACATCCTAACGTTACAGGAAAGCAGCTAGCGGTGAAACATTCTATAAAACTAAAGAGGACAAAAAGCCACAAAGAAAACAGATAAATAATACAAATTCAGCGCACGTTGACCTGTCTTTTGAAATCTTAATGTAAGTAAGTTGGAATGTTTGTTTTGTTTGTGTATCAGGTGAAGGTTACCAAGGGAAAAGAGACTTTTACGGCAGTGTTCGACCAAGCGATTCCACAATGGGTGGGCGTTGACGGGGAGTGGCCATGGTTCTCTGGTAAGTCCTAACGCAGAACTCTTGAATTGTAAAAAAACTTGAATTTTCTTTAGAATTGGAATGACCATGTTTACCCTTTGAAACTCGAACGTTGATGTTTAACTTTAATTTAAGCTAGCAGAGTTGCTAAACACGTAACAACCGAGCTCAAGAAGGAATAGGTTTTCATAATAAGCAGATAACGTAGTAAAAGCACGAAAGGATGTACTGGGACAGAGAGACAGGTATTAATCCTACGAATTTGCACTCTGAAAATGGAATAAAAGCTTGACCTTGTTAAGGTTAAAACTTTCTAGCGCACGCATAGGTCAGTAATAGGCTAAAAACACACACACACAAGAACACGGAAGAAGAACGGGAAGGAAATGACTAATTAAATGACTAATTAAGCTGCGTTTTTTTTCCTTTACAAAGTCTTCTTTCTGTGTATGCCCAAACCTAGTATTAAGATACTACCACAAAGTAGGAAAGACTTTTCTTTAATTAATTAAGTCATATTTCAAGGGACTCGTGGTATATCCCATGGTATGGCACTTGAAAGCGATACATTACTAATGATTTCTCATTACGCTTTGCAGCTAGAGCATGGCTTCGACCTTACCGTAAGTAGAATGAGAATGAACAGCAATATTTAAATAATTGCCATAAAGAAAAGCAACGAAAAAAGTAAAGAAACTAATGATAGTACTTAGAAAATACAATTATTGACCAACTAAATTCAAAACATCTGTGTATTGCTTTTTGCAGTGTTTAATTAACTTAAAGCAATTTAATGGCGGAACACATGCTGTACAACATCACGATTATCACTTTGAACCTCAGTTTTAAAGATGAATTGTTTTACAGCGTGATTAGTCCAACCAAGGTCACCCAACCAAGCAAAAACACTTTGCAATTGACCGATTATAATGTTTGAGCGTTAAAACAGGACAAATGATGACAAATGCATCGCGTCTGCAGCTTGCAGCTTGATTAGTTGGATGACGTTTTGGGAAATTGACGGTTTTCACTCGTTGACTGTGCACGGGATTTAAACAGCACGAATTAGATAATAGAAAATACAAATAGGAGACGTGTATGTGATCCTATCTTGTTTCAATCCAGGCTCCCTTCATAATTATTTGGTTGTTTCAACAGTTACGTACTCCGTCAAAATTTACACGCCGAACACCAACCTTAATGATGTATACCAGGTGGACGTTATGATTAATGGAGAGGATTACCTGCAAACTCAAATGAAAACCGTGCTCGATCCAGTAACCACACCAGAAACAGAAACGGAAGGGTATGTAATATATCAAATACTAGAGACTGTGTTTGATCACTTTTCCAAACACCGAGAACGACGGTTGAAAATGTGCAGCACAGCGGAGTATTTTTGTTACATTTCAAAGTGTTCAGAAACGTGGGAAAACACTGTTTTAATTGTTTTCTATATTTACTCAATCGAAAATAAAGTAAGGAAAAAACAGAGAAACAAAATTGTAAAAAAATTAGTTTAGATGTCCATACACCAACACGGTGATGTTTTCTTTGTTAATATAAATCCCACATTCAGCCGAGCTGACAGGCGGACGTGTTGAGGGGAATATTCCGATACAAGATCGTCGTACGTTTTAGCGGATATCATTCTTGGTTTGATGGAGCTTAGTGGTTTTAATTATAAAATGGGTTTAGAACTGAAAACAAAAACGTTTTGCAACGAAACTTCTAAAAGTAACCGGGGGAAATACCTGTTTGGGTTGACAGTGAATTCCAGCCGCGTCCTCCAAACGCTATTTCGTTTCCTTTTACGATTTTACGAGCAAATACATGCAATCCTTGAGTGCTCCTAAGTAAGCGTTCAAAAATTTTCCTCTGTCCATTTCACTAAAAACCAAAGTCTTTTCCAATTAGTTTAGAGTCCCTAGAGCTGGGAAATATCTCCCAAATTCCTGGAAATCGGCCCAAACCTGCTAAAAATCACTCAGCGCGTAGACCGGTCCCGGTCACTTCCTAGTCATAGTCACTAAGGGACTTAATATGTCGGTAAGATTGGTCCTAAGTAAGCGTTAAAAAATTTTTCCTCTCTCCATTTCACTGAAAACCAAAGTCTTTTTGAATTAGTTTAAAGTCCTTTCAGCTGGAAAATATTGCCCAACTTCTTGCAAATCGGCCTAAACTAAATCAAAATCACGCTGCACGTGGGCCGGTCTCGGCCACTTTCTAGTCATAGTTACTAGGGGAGTTAATATGTCGGCCAGAATACTCCTAAATAAGCGTTAAAAAATATTTCCTCTGTCCATTTCACTTAAAACCAAAGTCTTCTCGAGTTAGTGCAGAGTCCCTAGGGCTGGGAAATATCGGCCAAGTTGCTGGAAATCGGCCCAAAGCTGGTCAAGATCACACTGCGCATAGGCCGGTCTTGGACTTTTTCTAGTCATAGTCACTAAATGAGTTAATATGTCTCTCAGATTGCTCCTAAGTAAGCGTTCAAAAAGTTTTTCTCTGTCCATTACACTGAAATCCAAAGTCTTTTCCAATTAGTTTAGAGTCCCTTCAGCTGGGAAATATCGCCCAAGTTTCGGGAAATCGGCTCAAAGCTGCTCAAAATCACTCTGCGTGTAGACCGGTCGCGGCCACTTTCTAGTCATAGTCACTAAGGGTGTTAGTATGTCGGCCAGATTACTCCTACTGAAGTAAGCGTTCAAAAACTTTCCCTCTGTCCATTTCACTGAAATCCAAAGTCTTCTGGAATTAGTTTAGAGTCCCTAGGGCTGGGAAATATCGTGTAAGTTCCTGCAAGTCGGCCCAAAGCTGGTAAAAGTTACGCTGCATGTAGGGCGATCTCGGCCACTTTCTAGTCATAGTCACTAAGGGAGTTAATATCTCGACCAGATTGCTCCTAAGTAAGCGTTCAAATATTTTTCCTCTGTCCATTTCACTGAGAACGAAAGTTTTCTTGAATTAGTTTAGAGTTTTTTCACCTGGGAAATATTTCCCAAGTTCTCGCAAATCGGCCTAAAGTTGATCAAAATTACGCTGCACGCAGACCAGTCTCGGCCACTTTCTAGTCATAGTCACTAAGGGAGTTAATATGTCGGCCAGAATACTCCTAAGTAAGCGTTCAAAAATATTTCCTCCGTCCATTTCACTGAAAACCAAAGTCTTCTCGAATTAGTGTAGAGTCTTTGAGGCTGGGAAATATCGCCCAAGTTCCTGGAAATCGGTCCAAAGCTGGTGAAAATCAGTCTGCGCGTAGACCGGTCCCGGTCACTTCCTAGTCATAGTCACTAAGGGAGTTAATATGTCGGCCAGAGTGGTCCCAAGTAAGCGTTCAAAAGTCTTTCCTCTGTCCATTTCAATGAAAACCAAAGTCTTCTTCAATTATTTTAGACTCCCTACCGCTGGGAAATATCGACCACGTTCCTGCCAATCCGCCCAAAGGTGGTCAAAATTACGCTAGCCGTAGGCCTATTTCTAGTCATAGACACTAAGAGAGTTGATATCTCGGCCAGATTACTCCTAAGTAAGCGTTCAAATCTTTTTCCTCTATGAATTTGACGGAAAACCAAAGTCCTCTCGAATAAGTTTCGAGTCCCTGAAGCTGGGAAATATCGCCCAAGTTCCGGGAAACCAGCCCAAAGTTGCTAAAAATCACTCTGCGTGTAGAGCGGTCTCCGCCACTTTCTAGTTATAGTCA